GGCTGTGCAGGAATTGGTTCGGCCCCTGGGCGCCGCTGTTCACCAACCGGGGCGAAGCCCTGCTGGCGCCGCACGCACCTAAAGCACAATGCAGAGAGACTGAGACAAAACACCTCTCTCAGGAAACTGGCCGGGGGGGGGGGGGGGGGGGACGCCCCGCCCACGGCGGGGGGGGGGGGGGGGGGGGGGGGGGGGGGGGCAGCCCAACCTCCTAACTGTCGGGCTCCGAGGATTGAAAAGCGGATTCTGGTTTAAGTGGTCAAAGGCAGAACTGGAAATAATCCTCAAGTGACAATGATCTCCGTGCTCCAGGACTACAAAGGGCTGGTCTTCCTGGGAGTCTTCCTCGGGATGCTGCGGGAGTCCAGATCCGCTATTCAGTTCCCGAGGAGCTGGAGAAAGGCTCCTTCGTGGGCAACATCTCCAAGGACCTGGGCCTGGAGCCCCACGAGCTGGCGGAGCACAGGGTCCGCATCGTCTCCAGAGGTGGGGCTCAACTCTTCACTCTGAACCCTCGAAGCGGCAGCTTGGTCACCGCGGGCAGGATCGACCGGGAGGAGCTGTGCGTGGGGTCCACCGAGTGTCAATTAAACCTAGAGATTCTGGTGGAAGACATGGGGAAAATATACGGAGCAGAAGTCGAGGTGAGAGACTTTAACGACCACGCTCCCTCCTTCCGCGAAAGCGAATTAGAAATCAAAACGAGCGAAAGCGCCGCCGCCGGGATGCGGTTCCCTCTTCCCCACGCTTGGGACCCGGGCGTCGGGAAGAACGCCCTTCAGAGCTACCGGCTGAGCCCGAACGCGCGCTTCTCGCTGGAGGTGCGGAACGGGGCCGACGGCCGCAGGTACCCGGAACCGGTGCTGGAGTGCGCGCTGGACCGCGAGGAGGCGGCGGCCCGCAGCGGCAGGGCGCGCGTGCGCGTGACGGTGGTGGACGCGAACGACAGCGCGCCCGAGTTCGCCCGGTCCGGGTACCGCGCGAGCGCGCCGGAGAACGTGGCGGCGGGCGCTCGGCTGCTGCGCGTCCCCGCCGCCGACCCCGACGAGGGAGCCAACGCCCGCGTGGCGTATTCCTTCCGGTACGTGGACGACAAGGCGGCCGCCGTGTTCAAGCTCGACAGTGATATTCAAGGGGACAATATCAACAGCAGCGGAGCTGGACCACGAGGACTCGGGTTTCTACGCGATGGAGGTGCAGGCAACGGACAACGCGGGCCACTCGGCGCGGGCCAAGGTCCTGGTCACAGTCCTGGACGTGAACGACAACGCCCCCGACGTGGCCATCACGTCCCTCGCCAGCTCCGTTCCGGAAAACGCTCCCCGAGGGACTCTGATCGCCCTTCTAGACGTCAAGGACTGAGACTAGGGGGGGGAAACGGACGGGTCGTCTGCTCCATCCGGGAGGGTCTGCCCTTTGCAGCCTAGTCACGGACGCGGTCCTAGACCGAGAACAGGTGCCGAGCTACAACACAACGGTGACCGCAACCGACGGGGCAGTCCGCCGCGGTCCACCCACACCCACCTGTCGCTGGCCGTAGCCGACGCGAACGACAAACCGCCCGGTTTCCCCCAGGCCTCCTACTGGGCTCCATCCCGGAGAACAACCCCGGAGGGGCCTCCATCGCGTCCGTCGCCGCCCGCGACCCCGACAGCGACGAGAACGCCCAGGTCACTTACTCCCTGGCGGAGGACACCCGCCCGGGCGTCCCCCTGTCCTACGTCTCCATCAACGCGGACACCGGCGTCCTGTTTGCACTGCGCTCCTTTGACTACGAGCAGTTCCGAGACCTTCAGCTGCGAGTGACGGCGCGGGACAGCGGGGACCCGTCGCTCAGCAGCAACGCGTCCCTCAGCCTGTTCGTGCTGGATCGGAACGACAACGCCCCCGAAATCCTGTACCCCCCCCCTCCCTACCGACGGCTCTACCGGGGTGGAGCTGGCGCCCCGCTCAGCGGAGCCTGGCTATCTGGTGACCAAGGTGGTGGCGGTGGACAGGGACTCCGGGCAGAACGCCTGGCTGTCCTACCGCCTGCTCAGGGCCAGCGAGCCGGGGCTCTTCTCGGTGGGGCTGCACACGGGCGAGGTGCGCACGGCTCGGGCCCTGACGGACAGGGATGCGCTCAGGCAGAGCCTCGTCGTGGCCGTGCAGGACCACGGCCAGCCCCACCCCCCCGCCACTGTCACGCTCACTGTGGCCATCGCCGACAGCATCCCCGACGTCCTGGCGGACCTGGACAACCTAGAGTCCCCTTCCGCCTCCGAAACCTCAGGGCTCTCGCTCTATCTGGTGGTGGTCGTAGCTGCGGTCTCCGGCGTCTTCCTGGTCTTTGTTCTGGCGCTGCTGGCGCTCAGGCTGCGGCACTGGCACTCACTGCGCCTGCTCCGGGCTGCGGGCCCGGGATTGGCTGACGCGCCAGCCTCCCACTTTGTGGGCGTGGACGGGGTGCTAGCTTTCTTGCAGAGCTACTCGCTCTAGGTCTAGCTCACCGCGGGCTCCCGAAAGAGTCCCTTGATCTTCCCGCAGCCCAACTATGCAGACCCGCTCATCAGCCGGGAGAGCTCCGAGAAGAGCGAGCCTCTCTTGTTACCCGGCAATTCGATATTTTCTAAAGATAACCGTGCGTTAATTCAGGTGAGTCTGTTCTGAGAGTGGGGCAAACTATCATAGACGATATAGATGATTCATGGGCGTTTGAAATTGATAAAGCAATTGCCAACAAATTTGTATGTACATGACCAACAACAACCTAGTCGCCTTGTTTGGCTTAAAAGATACATTAGCATAATATTGTCACACGATATTTAAACAATTTCTACTTTATATTGCCCTATAATTTGGTAGCTTAGTTCATCAACGACAGTACTCTTTCCACTTTTAATTATTTTTCTTTTCGGTCATGAAGCAGCTTTGTGTTGGATATCTGTTTATCTGTTAAGAATGCAGGAGTGTAACTTAGAACTCAGTGGTAGCGCGCTGGGCTAGCATGTATGGAGAAGAGACCCTGGATGCGATCCCCAGTGAAGGCTGGGGGAACACAAATTCCGCTAGAGTGAAGAAACGGAATTCAATGGAAAGTACAGTTGCTTTAAAAAAAATTTTTTTTAAAGAGAAAAAACCTTGTCTGGGGATTGAACCAGGATATGTGCGCGCTGAGCTAAACACGTCACCCCTAGGCTACATCCTTAGCCCCAATAGAGTGGCCTTTCATTACATTTTAATCTGCTAGTAAAGTCATATGATGCATTTAATGTCTTTTAAATAGTACTATTTCTGGTCATTAGGGATAAATGCATATATTAAAAAGTTATATACGTATATTTTAGAAATTATTTGTAGCTGCAGGCATGGTGGCACATGCCTTTAATCCAAGCACTCTGGGAGGTAGGGGCAGGCAGATCGCTGTGAGTTCCAGGCCAGCCTGGTCTACAAAGCTAGTCCAGGACAGCCAAGGGTCCACAGAGAAACTCTGTCTCGAAAAAACGAAACAAAACAAAAGTTATTTGTACATGTGTGTTTGTGTCTCTGTGAGCATATATACACATACAGACGCTGGGTGAGGGAGCTCGGCGTTCTCTATCATTTTCCTACTCTTCTGAGGCAAGGTCTTTCCCTGAACCCAGGGCTGGAAGGCAGCAAGCCCCAAAGGCCTGCCTCTAACCTCTGTAGGGGGCAGTCCTTTCCCGGTTCACAGCACCTGAAATCCAAACTCCCAGTGCATGACTCACAGCAGACACTGTAAACTCCTGTGCATCTCTTTGCCTCTGTACTTAGACTTCCTTGGTATGAGTAATTTCGTATTTTTGTCTTCCAAGTTTGACTTCCAAGTATGGTGAATACACACTTGAAATTTTTCTCAATTATATGATTTATGTGTTGTAATTATGAAGGACTGTAATGTTATTTCATCTGTTACACACCTAGGAAGACAGTATGTATAAGCAGGAGTTAAACATTCCTTCTACCCACTTAACCTGCACTAATGATATACAAAATACCCAGAATTTGCCAATGTAGCACAAGCATGAGTTACATTTGCCATTTACACAGTGAAGGATTTTTTTTTTTTTGGTAGAAATATCTTCAAATTTTAAATGTTTTGAACGTATTTTTTGTTCTGAAAGAACTTTCCCAGTAGTATATTCTTCCTTCACTAAACTTTACACACAGAAATTTTTCTAGAAAGGGTAGGTCCTAAGTGTTTCCTTAGAACTAGTTTTTTCTATTTATATGCTGCCTATCTATTAAAAACATAATAACTGGAATCCAAATTTATAAAAGAGACTACTGAAATTTAGAGAAGGGTAGGTAATCAAAAAGGTAAACAAAACTGCCTCCGAAATGAAGCAAGATTCAAACGTCATCTTATGAGTCTTGATAAGCAAGCTCAAAAAAGAAGTATAGATTGTGTTGTTCTGCTCGTGTGATTCTTTTTAAGGAAGTATTTAAGCCTGTATAAAAAGATAAACTTTAGCCAGGGCTGGTAGTAGAGGCCTACAATACTAACCCCAGGTGCCCAGGAGGCTCAGGTAGGATGACAGCAGGTTTAAAGTCATCTCAAAATAAAAGGTCAACAGAGGTCTGAGGTGGTAGCTTAGTGGAAAAGCTATTGTGTTGCATGCACAGGGCCCTAGTTGGTTAGCTTCAGTCCCTAGAACTGCAAAAACAAACAAACAAACAAATAGCAAGTAATTCGAATTTACATTAAGTTGCAAATAAAGTACAGTGTTCTGTAATTAACACTGAAGAAAAGAGGGCAGTGTGCCCCCTTTTGTGGAAATTCAGAAAGTGTCCACAATGTAGTTCACATGTGGCAGATAGACAACACGAAATGAAAAGTGTAATTGACAAACAATGATTTTAAAACTTAAGCTAATGGTGTTGATCTCTGCCCATTAACTCGGTTTTAGGGACAAATTATGGGTGTTGTGTCATAAGTAGTAATGACTCTTAGACAGTATCTCAGAATCAGCGATAATTGTGTTCCCAGTTTGAACTGGTTCATTAAATAGTTCCGAGGGCGGAGGCTGGAGAGATGATGACCTTTGCAGAGGACTCAGGTTTTGCTCTGAGCACCTACCTAATGGGTCACGACCATTTGTAACCCAAGTTCCAGAGGATCAGATGCCCTCTTCTGACCTCTGTGGGCACCGGGCACTCACCTAGCACACAGACATAATCCGCAGGCGAAACGCTCATACACATAACACAAATCTTTAAACAGTGCTCTAAGATCCCATGATACCAAGTACCAGATGTATCACAGTACACAGTAGGGGTTTTGGTGGTGGTGGTGGTGGTAGTGGTGGGAATTGAACTAGGCGCTTTGCACATGCTAGGAAATGCTCTTATATATTTTCTATATGTTTTTACTTTTTACTTTGAGACCTAGTATTGCAAACTTGCCCAGACTGGCCTTGAACTTGTCACCTTCCTGCCTTTGCCTCATGAATAGCTGGAATTACAGTAATACCAAGGCCACCAATGGTACTTTTTAACTAGATAACTTCATAACTAGGTTGGCTTTGGCATGTTATTCAATTTTGGGGACTTCAGCAAAAACAGGGATAATAAGATCATATCTGAAATATTGTGATAACGATGTGGAAGACTATATAGTTTGGCTCATAACCTCTCATTAATTAGTAATAGCTGTTCATTTTGTGATTGACTGAAAAAAGAAAAGGCATGCTTTCAATGGCAGCATACCTAGAATTCTTTTGGGGAAAGTAATAATGCTGTAGCCTTCTCCAGATGACATAGTTAATACAAGGCAATACCCGTGTTTGGAAACAAAACTTCTTTTGGAATTTTGGTACAGTTAATTTAAAAGTTTAGTTGGTGCGATGACATATGCCCGTAGTCCCACCAATCCTAAGGTGGAAGCAAGATCAAGGTCATCCTCTGCTACACAGGGAGTTCAAGGCCAACGTGGGCTGTGTGAGAATGTGCCTCAACAAGAAAAATCGAGGCACACTCTTGATTGAGAAGCTACATCTTAGGCCATAAGATGAGGGGGGGAAACTGTTTTGTATGAGACAATTCTGTGAATTCTAGCTTTTTGTGTGTCTGAATAGTATAGTCTAAACAAGGAGCCCGTGGAATGGTGTGCATGTATGGGTGTGTATGTGTGTGTGTGAGTGTGTGTGTGTGTGTGTGTGTGTGTGTGTGTGTGTGTGTGTGTGTAAGTATATATTTGAGACAGAGTCTCACTATCAGCCTGGCTGGCCTGGAATTAGATATGTAAGTCAGACTAACTTCAAATTTACTATGTAGCCAAGGACAATCTTGACCTTGTGTGATCCCCCAGCCTCTGTTTCCCAGTGGTGCAATTAAAGGGACATGCTGTGCTTTAAGAGTTCACTCTAATGAAATATTGGGTGGTGCAGCTGGAAAATGATGACTGAAAACTGAAGGTTGGAGTTTTTCATCTTGGCTATATGAAAATGGAAGCTAATGGAACACAGAATACCAACTGTAGTGCTGGATTATCATGGATGGTTGTTGATAATGAGGATACATGTTGGGTTGTTTTCTGAGCATAACTGGCAATGGGTTTACATATTGACATTTCTTCTAGTTCTGGCAATGAAAGTGTGTCCGGACCTTGTCTTCCTATGTAAAAGTGAATATACATTCATTCCACCGCTAAATCAAAGGGTTCAACTGTAACTTAAAATTTGTCATCCTGGGCCAGGTAGTGTCTAGACACACCTTTAATCCCAGCAGAAGCAGGTGGATCTCTTGAGGTGGAGGCCAGCCTGGTCTACAGGGCAAGTTTCAGGACAGCCAGGGCTACACAGAGAAACCCTGTCTCAGGAAGAAAAAGAAAAGTTGTCATTCTATTGAAAATTACACTGTAATCTGGCAGCAGAAATTCTTTCATCACTTTATTTTGGGGGAGGCATTAAAGCTACCACAGCCTACACATCTCGCTAGAACTATACAATTTAAAGATATTTTTTCCATGAATTGGAAGGCTAATGAGTAAATATCACCACTTTCTCAATAACATGCAATTGGATATAGCTCCAGTGATAAACTGAATGCTTTTGGTGCGGGGAAAGATCTACTTTTACTGCATACAAGATAACAGGTTCAACAAAAACAAATATATAGTTGTGAAAAGACATTGATCAAACAATGATTCAGTATCTTAGGAAAGAGACAGATTTGCTCTTTAGTGGTACATTGCAAATTCACTCTAGGGAAACCATACTCATTGGAAAACTACCAATAGCTGGGTCTTGGGACATTCTTAATATACTGATTGTAAATGATGGCCTATGACAAAGGTAACTGGAAGCATATAAAAGCTATTTCTGGATACCAACTGGGAAGGGACATGGATCAAGAAAAGGTGAAGAAATTGTCACTGGACAAATCATTGAATCAGAAAAAAAGTATAAAAGGGAACTGGTGCCACCATTATTTTTCTCAGAGAAGTCATACAAAACACCACTTAACAGCAGTGAGGGCAGGTAAAATGTCGTAGTTATCAAAGTCTCTGAAGCATTCTGCAGTGCTTTCCACAGCTAACCATTCAATGAAATGAGTTAAGAGATTAAAAGATGGTATCTTGGGAAAGAATCATAGTGCAAAATCCATAATAAAGACAACTTTCCGGCCTACCTTACAAAGCTAATGGC